GTGGTAGTGGTAGTGGTGGTGGGAGTGGTGGTGGCAGTGGCAGTGGTGGTGGTAGTGGTAGTGGTAGTGGTAGTGGTGGTGTAGTGGTAGTGGTAGTGGTGTAGTGGTAAAGTACAAGAAGAACCCACTAGTGATTATGGGTTTCCTGTGTCAGGCTAAGATCCAGATCTCATCAGGATTTTTACAAGTCGTGGTTACCAAGCAAAAGATGGCCGACTGAATGAAGTATGTACATTTCAATATAGTTTTTTAAAATTTTCACTCATTTCCCCCCTAAAACCAATTAAAAGAAACCAGAACAACATAAACAGAAACCACAGGAACGATTTTCACAATGGTAAGTGTTCTTTCAAGCAAAAATTGAACGAAATTTGAAATTTCTCTTGAAGATTTGATGAGTCACTCCAAATTTAAAATTTTCTTTTTTCTTCTAGTTCGGGTTCAACATGTTTGAGCCTATGCCAAGGAATTTTAAGACTCAATATCGTTGCTATTCAGTAGTGATGTTTCCTGGTAATGAAAGAGAAGACGTTGAGAGAGGAGGAAAAAGTAAGCCAAGCTTCAATTCTGCAGTCTTTCATTTAAACTCGTGTTAATTTTTAAGTTTTCATGGTTATTCCTATCGGGGTGGCTATTCGTACGTCACCCGTACGGTGACTTGTATGGGAGTCAAACATTTCGTCGATTTTCTCGGGAACTCTGTACTCTTTTCCAACCTAATAATGATATTTTTGTTTAGACCAGTTAGGCGAGTCATGTCAGTGATGTTATTTTGATTCAAACTTATTTGGCGAGTCTACTCAGTAGCGAGCAACCCCGGGGGGTACTCCCCTATATTCGCTGTACGGGTACATGCCGCCAAACAGGGTATGGTTTTCAGCAATTCTTCTCTGGAACAGGGTATATAAAATCACACTTGCTTTCAGCGATCTTGCTCTGGAACGGGGTATGAATTTCAGTGATTTTTACTCTGGAACAGGGTCAGGGTTCAGAGGGCTCAGCAGCACATCCCTACCCTAAACAAGCAAGAGTACCCCCCCCCCCCCCACAGGCGAGCAACTCACTTTCGCAACACTTAGAATTTTTTTCGTGTAGTCTCAGGTCAGTGTCACAGCCGTGCAATAGAATTTCTGATGACTCCCATACAAATTATTCGTGATTGTTRTTCGTACGGGAGTCTGTTCAGCAAATATTTTATCAACATTTTTCACTCCCGTACGAATTATTCGCAATATTGTTATTCGTACGGGAGTCTGTTCAGCAAATATTTACCAACATTTTTCACTTTTATATATATATATATATAAATTTTAATTCTTTGTTTTTTTCCTCTCATGCCAGTTATCATGCCGCCATCTGCGTTGGATCAGCTTAGTAAGTCCATATCAATTCTTTCTAAAATAGCCATAAGTCTATCAAGAAATAAATAACATTTGAACCTAACATAAGATTAGATAAAGAAAGTATCAATAGTAAGAATCCATTTAATGGTATCTTTCCCAGACCTTTCTCACTTGAATGTTGTCCATTGTTTTTTTTTTTAAATATACCACATTTCTTATGTCTTTTATTGCACTTTTCAGCACGACTTAACATTGTATATCCAATGCTGTTCAAACTAACAAACAAGAAAATCAACAGAACAACACATTGTGGAGTCCTGGAGTTTGTTGCTGATGAAGGCAAGATATATCTACCTTATTGGGTCAGTATAGCATCTTTCACTGCCAGGATATAGGTTTTTTTTGGATAGAATAAAGAAATGGTGAAAAAAACCCCAGAAACATAATTATGATATGTACATGTAGAATGATACACATTGTTTCGGCATAGTTCAGTCTTTCATTTTTTGTTTTTTTTATTCCGAAATACTATTAGTAGGCAGCCCCACGCATGCTTTATGAACGTCGATGCACTACTAAAGAAACCAAGGGTTCCAGAAGCGGATCCAGGATTTTGTTCAGGGAGGGGTGCTGCGCACAGTGCTTACCCAGAGAGGGGTGCACCGCTTAGAATCAAAGGCAAAAAACAAAATTGGTTATCTTTGAAGTAGGAGCACAAAGTGTACCCAGGGAGGGGTGTGCACGCCCTGAACCCCTCCCCTGGATCCGCCTTTGTAAAGTGTACTCACCTCTCAATTATCAACTCTGTTGTCTCAGGTTCAATTCCTTGATCCATGAGCTTTTCTCTAGATTCTCCAGGTTCCCTTCCTCCACAAAACCTAATGCTAAATTAAGTTTGAATTTGTTCTGTGAGTTAGCTTTGCCATGACTTTGATCAGCTAAGAGGTTTCAGGGTATTGATAAAAGTGGGACAAACACGAATGAAGTTTATTTGTTTCAGAGTCCTTAAATATGACAATAAGTAACTGGTCCTCAATCCGTACTGATTTGTACCTATTTTATATTTTTCTACAGATGATGAGAAACATGTTGTTAGAAGAAGGATCGATTTTAGAAGTAGAAAGTGCATCTCTACCTGTTGCTTCTTTTGCAAAGTTTCAACCACAGTCCTGTGACTTTCTGGACATTACCAACCCTAAAGCTGTGTATCCTTAACATATTTAGAATAACTGAGCTATTGTGGTCAACCTACACTGTGCAGTGCAAAGTGTCAACCACTTACTGATCCCTTACAACCACTTACCAAACCTTTACCAACTACTCACCAACCACATGCCAACCAATTACAAACCCTTAACCAACCACTTACTGACATCCTACCAACCACTGACTGACACCTTACCAACCACTGACTGACACCTTACCAAGCACTTACTGACACCTTACCAA